AGAAGTGCAAACATGAAGAAAGGCTCTCATGAAGAAACTTTTTTACTTTGTGCGTGCTTTATTTGATTCTCTTTACTTAGTCAGACAGCATTGTTTACTTTTTTGTTTTATTTCTTTATCTGAAAAATGATTCTGTGCAATATGAAGCCCCTGTCACATGGTAACTTCCCACAGGTTAAGTGAATAATGTTCTCTTTCAGAAGGCGGATAAATGGCTGATGGATTCATTTAAAACATGTCTGTTGCATGTTGCTGTTGTTTTGAATGAGCCCTGTAATAGCTAAAGTTTTACTTCTTTTCTGCAGTTTTATTTCTTTTTAGCAGGCACTGTCACAAACCCCTTGATTCTTTGATAGCCGAAGTCTTAGTTTCCGAAAATATTCATTGAAGTGCTATTTACCATTAGACACTAACTTTGACAGATGTTACTGCTGCTTCTCAATTAGGTGAAGTGTATACTTGGGAAGGTGCCAGTTTGAACTGAATATTTTGGAATTTGGTATTTGAACTAAATTGTTGTTTAAACCTTTCTTGTCTATCATATAGTTAGTTGCTGGGGCTGCCAGCTGTTTTTGTAACATAAGTGTTTTGGTATTTTCCCTACTACTATTTAAATATTAGAAAATGGCTTCCTATCATTTCAAAGAGAACTTCATTCTTAGTTTACTACAAAATCCTCCTAGCAGCTCTTAAACTCCCTAGAACTTAAGTTGCAGACACTACCTGGGTATAAAGTGCTTTCTATGGGCAATATTAATAATTTAAAATTCCCTTTACTCTTGCAAATTTCTAACAGCCAAGAAGTCTAGAATGTCTACACTTTGGTGACTAATGTATGCTACTGAATAATTATGTATCATTTTTTAGGCAGAGACACTGCAGGTCTGAGAGTAGAACTGCTAAGTATGGCAAATGCTTCATTTTCAAATTTAAAAATATAATCCATTCAAAGGTAAAAGCTAAGGTGTAAATAGTAGAAAGAGATTTAGACTTGGCTCCAAAACTCTGGGTTATAGCATTACCTCCATCTTTTGTTTAGCTGCGTCACCTCATGTAAGCCATTGTCCAACTTCAAAATGCAGTGTCCTTTCCAAAGCCTCATGTTAAATATTGTGTGTGTAATACACTAAAAAGAGTTTGGTTGAGGAAAGCTGAATTCTCTTATTTATCAGCAACCCACACCAGCCTGGCAGCTCCAAGGTCAGTCTCCAGCTGCAGTTTCATCTTTTTATAATCCCTTAAATCCTTGCTAGGCTTTCATTGCTAGTGTGTTTCTCTAGGAATTTGCATTTAGAGCCATTGAGGGCTTCTTCCTGCCTTTGGAATGCTTCTCTGCTCACAAGCTTAATGAAAAGTGATTTAGAGATGGGAGAAAATGCAAATATCAAAAGTTTGAATTTTTATACAGTCAGACTGTTTCCATCATGACTAATGTTCCTTTATTATTTCAGAACTTTGAAGTACTGTGTCTGAATCTTAGTATCGTGACACATCACTGCCATTTTCTACCATTAGCTGCGCAAGCGATTTGTACCATTCTCATTGTTCTAAATATTCTCTTTTTTTTTTTTTAGGCCTAGAGTGATTTAGCATCAAGGATCCATAGCATGAGGAAAACTTCCTAATCCAATTCTGTTACATTTTAGGTACTGGAAATTTTCATTCATCTGAAATAGGTTGAATTTTCCTGGGCTTAAATTAATCTTTCATTGGTTTGCTTTTGAAATAAGGTAAACAGAACGATAACTTGCTACAAACTATAGAAAAATAAATGGTCTAGTGATTTCATTACATGCGCTGTCTTAATGAAAAAAGTTGGTGCTAGATGTAAAATGCATCTTCATTAAAAGAGGCTACGCATGCACTACAGTCAAAAAAAGCAGATGATAACAAACATTGGTGAGGAGGTAAAGAAAGAGAAACCCTAACCCTAGCCATCATTCTGGTGGTGGGAATGTAGAATTATGCAGTCTTTGTGAGAAAGTGTTAGACCGTCACAAAATTGAAGACAGAACTACCTTTATGACCATTTTTTTCTACTTATAGGTATGTACTCAAGAGAATTGAAAAATATGCCCTTACTAAAACTTATGTGCAGATATTTATAAGGGAATTATTTGTAATAGCCTCAAAGTGGAAACAGTCTAAATACTCATTCATGGATTAACAACAAAATATAGTTTATACATGTAATAGAATGGCATTAGGCAGTAGAAAGAATAAAATATTGATACATAGATGAAACCTCAAAAACATTACACCAAGTGAAAGAAACCAGACACAAAAGGCAATGTTTTTATTTTTAATATTTTAATATTTTACTTTTTGTAAATCTGATTCCATTCACATAAAATGTAAACAACCGGCAAATCCATATAGACAAAAAGTAAATTTGTGGTTATCAAGAACCTGGGAGTCGAGGGAAGTTGGATTGATTGTTGGTGAATAATGGATTTCTTTGCGAGATGATGGAATATTCCAATATTGAGTAGCACCAATGGTTGTATAACTGAATAGATTAAAAATGATCAAATTGTATCCTTTAAAAAAGGTGATTTTAGTGGTACATAAATATCTCAAAAGACTGCTACAGATAAAAAAATAGTATTATATTACAAGTATGTGAAATCATAAAAGCATATTTAAGTTAATTTTTTTGCCAGAAACTGGAGGAAAGAGAGGAATGGTACATTACTGTTCAATGGGTCTAGTGTTTAAGTTGGGGAATATACAAACTTCTGGGATGGATGGTGCTGATGGCTACACAACAATGTGAATGTACTTAATTCTACAGAAACCTAGATTTTAAAACAGTAAAAAAGTTAAATTTTGCAGGGTGTGGTGACACACACCTTTAATCCCAGCACTTGGGAGGTGGAGACAGGCCAATCTGTGAGATCAAGGCCAGACTGGTCTAAATGTGGAGTTCCAGGCCAGTTGGGACTTCAGAGAGACCTTGTCTCAAAACAAAACAAAAAAATGTTAAATTATGCATACTTTGCCACAATAATAACACCCTTCCAACCTCCAAAAATTATATTTTATATTATTCTAATGAATAAAGTTTTTTCCCCTTTTTCTTTTGTAAACAGGAAAAGTGAAAATGTGATTGTTCTTTTTACTATGCCTGTGATACTTCTGGACTGTGTGTTATTTAATCCTAGTATATGTATGTAGAGGAGGTAGTTAAATACACATGTGTCTTTGGATGAGAGCTTGAGAGTATTTTTAAGAACCTCATTTGCCAGTAGGAAAATAAAGGAAACCAAACCATAGGAAATTTATATTGTTAAATTATAAAATAGCGAAATGCTACTTTCAGAGTATGAGTTACAACAATTTTCTGATTTTCTTAGTTAATGTTTACTTCTTGAATGACACAAACATTTATATATAGCATCTCTGTATCTTTCTAAGAGTATTTTCTTTCATCTAGTAGGATTGAATTAGCACCAGAATGCACTGAAAATATAAATGGAGTGAGTGATTTCAGAATGCAAAGGAAGGGATGAAAAGTAGAAAAGAGAAGAAGGGGCATAATGAGACCCCGCTTCAAAAATACAGGAAGTGGGAAGGGAGTGGATTTAGCAGTGAGGGCATCACTTCAAAGGGAATTAAGCCAGTCTAGCATACACTCAGTTGCACTTTAATCCCAGCACTCAGGAGGAAGAGGGAATCTCTCTGAGTTTGAGACCAGCCTGGTCTACATAGGGAGTTCTAGGCCAGCCAAGTCTACATAGGGAGACCCTGTCTTGAGAAAAAAAAAATTTAAGTCAAACAATAAAAAAACTGGGTATGATGGCACACACCTTTAATTCCAGCACCTGGGAGGCAGAGGCAGTGGGATTCTCTGAGTTTGATGCCAGCCTGGTCTACATAGCCTATATAGCGAGTTCCAGACCAGTTGGTGCTATAAGGGAGACCCTGTCAAAAAAAAAAAAGAGGTGGGGATTAAATTATTCCTAAAGACTGTGGAACTGTGTTATGTCTATAAGTTTATAACCTGTGAGAATTAAACTGTGAAAACATTTTCTAAGCCTGGCTGCTCTATAGGCTATCTGATTGTGGACTGTATGTCAATCATGTCATTTGTATGTTAGTCAGAGGTGTGTTTTGCTTGACAAGGAAGTGGTTTTTTTTTTTTACAAAAGTACAAGGAACATAGTGTGTGTTTATGACAGAGAGAAACATGGGGGGCGTTGGGGGGAGAGACTGATTTCTTCTCCTGTAGGAAGAACATTTTTATCCTTTACCAGGCTCCTTCTAGAGTTTGGCATGGTAATACTTGATTCAAGGATCTAATCAGAGTTGATGTACTCAGAAATCCACTGATAGGATTAATGATCTCATGATCTCATAATCATACTTTTATTTCACAGATGAGCCCTTTTTCCTGTAGTTTCACATTTTTTGAGTCATGTCTTAAGTTTTCCTTTTAGAGCACATGAAATACGTGTGGTTTTAGTCTGTAATTTGAATGATTATTTTCATTTTCTGGAAGAAAATGAAATTTTGATCATTTTTTAATTCTTTGATGTTCGATGGTAACTGGTATCCCTCATATAAGATTTTTATGTGTGCTTTTTAAGGTTTTTACAGTGTAATTTTATGTATAAAAAGAAAGATATGTATGATTCTATATAAATTGTCCCTTCTAATAGTTGATTCAGAGGTCTTCCAGCAAGTTTGCACTATTCAAGTTTTTATTCTCAAATGTAAAGCAAAACATTTTCAGATTTTACAAATAACATGGAAATACATAATATTGCATTCCTATTTGGGAGATTTAGTTGATCAGTTACTTTTTGCAGGTAAGTAGTCAATGGAAGAAACTGATTTCTAAAATCTGCATTCTTTTTAGATGTGTTTGAAGATCACTTGCAACTTTGATCCTTTTTTGATTCTCCTTATGTATTTGCCTGTTTTAAATCATTATCAGAGTTTGAAATGAAGAACTTGCTGTCCATTGATTGCTTTAATATCTGCTTTGTCTTTAACAGTGCCCTTAAAGATAGCCGTTTCCCCCCAATGACAAGGGATGAGCTGCCCCGGCTTTTCTGCTCAGTGTCTCTGCTCACTAACTTTGAAGATGTCTGTGACTATTTGGACTGGGAGGTAAGATTATAGATACTTTTTAAAGTAAATGTTAGTAACTCCTGAGTAGGTGTTAACAACTAGACCCAGGAAATACCTCCTTTGGCCCATTCTAACACATAAAGAAATGCCACCATTGAATAATAAGATAAGAGTAAAGAGATTTTTTTTAAAGGGCAAAGTACCATGTGGTCTTCCAATTCCCAAACTGAATTCAGAATTCATTCTTATCCCACTACCTTACCTAAGCATCTCCTAAAAGCCGTTTAGAAATAGCAAGAACTGACTGAAATGTATTTCTCCTTTATTTCCATCTAGTGCACTGTGGTATAACCACCACTCAGTGATGAGGCAGTCAGAGTGTACATCTCAGGAAGAAATAGCAAGATTTATTTATCAGCAAAATCCACCACCTGGGGGAAATCAGTTTGTGATGATGGCAGCGTATTAGTAAACTAGATTTAAATAAGGTGAATTCCTTTTTGGTTACTTTAATTTATACACTTTAAATTATATGAGTAATATTGTTATATCTACAGTATCTGTATGCTTTACCATTATTACAAAGCCTATGTTAATCATATTTTTTATTCTTTACTGTGTGGGTTGGCTTATTAGTGGAATTCAAAGTTCTCATGGTGATTTGTTTTGGTGGTCAAAATAGTTGAGTGTAGGTCATGCTTATGTTACTGAACACCAGCTCTGTTCCAGGCAGTGTGCTACGTGTACAGGAGTGGCAAAATATGGTCCCCATGATGATGGATCTTATAGTACAGTAGCAGAGAGAAAATGTATATAAAAAGTATGAATAAATTAATACTAGGAGAAAGAAGCAATGGGAATTCACTGATGCATAGTATTTTTTTTCATACAGTACCCATAAACGGCATTACTGTATCATCATAAGATCTTTTCATTCTACTTTATTTTAGAAGAACCATTCCCATTGTTACTGATAGTCTGCCTTGTTTTCATACTTAATTCACTTCAATTTTATTTTTGACTTTTCCTTGATTCCTTGTGACACTTTAGACAGTTTTATACCATGGAAATTCACTACTTCTGTATACAGAATAAGACATTTATTAAGTTCTGGATATTCATCTCTGAATATCCCCAATAAGAATTATTGTTGTTACCCCAGAACCATTCTAAAACATTTGTAAGGCTGGGAGTGGTGGTGCCCACCTTTAATCCTAGCACTTGAGAGGCAGAGATAAGTGAATGTCTGTGAGTTTGAGGCCTTGCTGGTCTACATAGAGAGTTCCAGACCAGCTACGGGCTATATGGAGAGACCCAGTGTCAACAAAAAGAATCCAAAAAATAAATAAAGAACTCAAACAGTCCCCCCACAGAAAAAGAAAAAAGGAAAGAAAAAAAGAAAGAATAGAATAGAAACAAATAGAATAGGATGCAAGTGTCTTTCTGGGATTTGTGGTAGGTGTTTTTATCATTATTAGAATATGAAAGCCTTTTTTAATATTATTTTTTTAGAAGAAGCATATCATTACAGCTTTAATATATAATGCTAATACTCGAGAATCTAGAAAGTGCCAAATATTTTATAGAACTAAATTTCCTACTTTAAAAGTAGTTTTACATTCTTACTTGGTTTTCCCTTTCCTTGTCCTTCCCTCGCTCTCTCCCTTCCTCTTGTCTCTCTCCTCCTTCTGTCTTTTTTGTTTGTTTGCTTAGTTGTGATACAGTCACACTATGCAGCTGTTGCTGGCCTTGAAATCGAGATCTGCTTACCTACTGCCTCTTGGGTAGTGGGGATTACAAGTATGCACCACTACATCTGGACTATTTGGGTTTATGTGTATGAGAATTTCACATGCCTGTATGTGAGCGCACCTGTGTCAAGCAGTATCTGTGGAGCTGTGGGGGTCAGAAGAGGGCTTTTGGAGTAACAAAGTGGATGGTCATTAGCTGCCATATGGGTGCTGTTAACTGGAAGAGAAGCCATGCTCTTAATCACTGACCCATCTCTCCAGTTCGTAATTTGATTTTCTTAAAGAGAAGTTTACCATTATGATGGAAATATTCCTCATTAGGATTTTTTTTTGTAGATGGTCCCAAATCATGACTGTTTGAGGACCATATATTGCAGTTTAGATGATTCTATTACTGTTTTAGAATTGTTGTTTACTTTTCTCACGATAGAATTTTATCCTTTGCTTTGTATAGTG